TGTCTAGTGTGTCAACTAAAGATCAGTCGATAACCTCAACTATAGATCAGCCTATAGTCAAGATTTTGGACTATATATCAGTTTGTATTCTCCACTAAAGATCAACCTACAGCCTTATCTACAGATCAGTCTATTGTCTCAAGTATAGACCATTCTACAGTCATATAAAGTGTCACGTACTAATCAGTCTATAGTCAATGTCATATACAGATAAACCATATATGTATCAATCAATAGCCGTCATTCTATACAGTATCCACTATACATCAGTTTATACACGACACTTTATATCAGTTTTTATTTCAAACTACAGAATAGTCTTTATTCTAGACAAAAGATTATTCAATATTCTTAACTAAGGATCAGTCTATGATCTCAACTATATATCAGTGTAATGACTCAAATATAGTTCAGTATATAGTCTAAACTATAAATCGTCCTATTGTATCAACTATATTTTAATCAATAATCTCAATTATAGATCTGTTTACAGACTGTAGTCTTAACTACCGACTAAAGATCAGTCTATAGTCTCGACTATAGATCAGTACATAGACTCGACTATAGATTAGTCTATAGTTGAGACTATAGATCAGTTTATAGTATCGGCTAAAGATCAGTCTATAGTCTCGACTATAGATAAGTCTATAGTCTCGATTATAGATAAGTCTATAGTCTCGACTATAGATAAGTCTATAGTCTCGACTATAGATCAGTCTATAGTCTCGACTATAGGTCAGTCTATAGTCTCGACTATAGATCAGTCTATAGTCTCGACTATAGATCAGTCTATAGTCTCGACTATAGATCAGTCTATAGTCTCGACTATAGACCAATCTGTAGTCTCGACAATAGACCAGTCTATAGTGTCGACTATAGATCAGTCCATAGTCTCGACTATAGATCAGTCTATAGTCTCGACTATAGATCAGTCCATAGTCTCGACTATAGATCAGTCTATAGTCTCGACTATAGATCAGTCTATAGTCTCGACTATAGATCAGTCCATAGTCTCGACTATAGATCAGTCTATAGTCTCGACTATAGATCAGTCTATAGTCTCGACTATAGATCAGTCCATAGTCTCGACTATAGATCAGTCTATAGTCTCGACTATAGATCAGTCTATAGTCTCGACAGTCCATAGTCTCGACTATAGATCAGTCCATAGTCTCGACTATAGATCAGTCTAAAGTATCGTCTATAGATCAGTCTATAGTATCGACTATAGATGAGTCTATAGTATCGCTAAGATCTGCCTTTAGTCTCAATTATAGATCAGTCTGGAGTCTAGGCTATAGATCAGTCCATACTCTCGACTATAGATCAGTCTATAGTCTCGACTATAGGTCGGTCTGTAATGTCGACTATAGATCAGTCTGTAGTGTCGACTATAGATCAGTCTATAGTCTAGACTATAGATCAGTCTATAGTATCGACTATAGATCAGTCCATAGTATCAACTATAGATCAGTCCATAGTCTCGACTATAGATCTGTCTATAGTCTCGACTATAGATCAGTCTATAGTCTAGACTATAGATCAGTCTGTAGTATCGACTATAGATCAGTCTATAGTATCGATCAGTCTATAGTATCGTCTATAGATCTGTCTTTAGTCTCAACTATAGATCAGTCTAGACTCTAGACTATAGATCACTCCATACTCTCGACTATTGATCAGTCTATAGTCTCAACTGTAGATCAGTCTGAAGTCTCGACTACAGATCAGTCTATAGTTTCGACTATAGATCAGTGTTTAGTTTCGACTATAGATCAGTCTATAGACTCTATAGTCTCATCTGTAGATAAGTCTATAGTCTCGACTATGGATCTGTCTCAACTATCTATTAGTCTATAGTCTCAGCTATAGAACAGTCTATAATCTCTATTATAGCTCAGAGTATAGTGTAAACTATAACACATTCTACATAGTCTCAACTATCGATCAATCTACAGTCTAAAATATAGATCAGTTTATAGTTTCAACTATAATAGTCTTAACTATAGATCAATCAATATTAGAGATTAAAAAGAAAAGTCTATATTCCAGACTAAAGATCAATTTTTATTCGATATTTTCTATATGTAAAAAACAGTGTAATTTCCTTTCTTTTTTTAATTTTTCTATTTTCCTCTAATTTTTCTAACAGTTTTTTCACTATTAATTTTCTTTGTTTTTTTCTTAACATGAATTATAATAATATTTTTGACGATTTCTTTTTTTTTGTAATTTTTTTTATTTATGAATGAAAATTTCAACGAAGAGACAAAAAAAGGCACTACAATCTAATTAGGTTTATGGTATTTTTTTGTTAATAAAGTAATTTTTTTTTTAATTAAAAACTAAGCTTAAATCGATGAAATTGATATAGACGTTTTTTGTATGTTAAAAAAACATTTATGCAATAAATTGGTGTTTGTTGTTTTTAAGTTTAAGAATTTTTAAAAAAATTTAATGACGAATTTGTTAAGTAGTAATAAATTAGTTTAATTTAATTAACAAGTTATTTTTTTGTTTAAATTAAATTTATGGGGATTAGTTAGTGTTCAAATAAATAGAAATGAAATTAAAAGATAAAAAGTGAAAAATAAATTATAATTAATAAAATTTATAAAAATAAAAAATTAAAATTAGTTTAGAAAATAAATTGTGGAACGAAGGACCATTTCGGCAAGATTAATATTAAAGAATAAAAAACAATCACTAGAGATCTCAGTCTACAGTCCAGACTGTAAAGACTAAACTGTAGTCTTGACTGATCTATAATTCTAACTTTAGTCTAGTCAAGAGCGTGATAATAGATCAGACTGAGTCTTGACTATAGACTGATCTTTAGTTTTAATTAAAGACTGATCTACAGCTTCGACTTTAGACTGATCTATAGTCTGGACTATAGAATGATCTATAGTCTCGACTAAAGACTGATCTATAGTCTTGACTATAGAAAGATCAATAGTTTTGACTATAGACTGATCTATAGTAAACTGATCTATAGTCGTGACTAGAGACTGATCTATAGTCTCGACAATAAACTGATCTGTAGTTTTAACTCTATAGTCCTGACTATAGACTGATCTATAGTCTTGACTATAGACTGATCTATAGTCTTGACTATAGACTGACTATAGACTGATCTATAGTCTTGACTATAGACTGATCTATAGTATTGACTATAGACTGATCTATAGTCTTGACTATAGACTGATATATAGTTTTGACTATATACTGATTTATAGTCTTGACTACAGACTGATCTATAGTTTTAACTATAAACTGATCTATAATCTTGACTATAGACTGCTCTTTAGTCTTGACTATAGACTGATCTATAGTCTTGACTATAGACTGATCTATAATCTTGACCATAGACTGATCTATAGTCTTGACTATAGACTGATCTATAATCTTGACTGTATACTGATCTATAGTCTGGTTTATAAACCGATCTATAGTCTTGAATATAGACTGATCTATAGTCTTGTCTACAGATTGATCTACAGTCTTGACTATAGACTGATCTATAGTTTTAACTATAAACTGATCTATAGTCTTGACTATAGACTGATCTATAGTCTTGACTATAGACTGATCTATAGTTTTGACTATAAACTGATCTATAGTCTTGACTATAGACTGATCTATAATCTTGACTATATACTGATCTATAGTCTTATTTATAAACTGATCTATAGTCTTGACTATAGACTGATCTATAGTCTTGTCTACAGATTGATCTACGGTCTTGACTATAGACTGATCTACAGTCTTGACTATAGACTGATCTATAGTCTTGACTATAGACTGATTTATAGTCTTGACTATAGACTGATCTATAGTTTTAACTATAAACTGATCTATAGTCTTGACTATAGACTGATCTATAGTTTTAACTATAAACTGATCTATAGTCTTGACTATATACTGATCTATAGTCTTGACTATAGACTGATCTATAGTTTTGACTATAAACTGATCTATAGTCTTGACTATAGACTGAGCTACTGTCTTGACTATAGACTGATCTATAGTCTTGACTATAGACTGATTTATAGTCTTGACTATAGACTGATCTATAGTTTTAACTTTAAACTGATCTATAGTCTTGACTACAGACAGATCTATAGTCTTGACTATAGACTGATCTATAGTCTTGTCTACAGATTGATCTACAGGCTTCACTATAGACTAATCTATAGATTTGACTATAGACTGATCTATAGTCGTGACTAGAGACTGATCTGTAGTCTCGACAATAAACTGATCTGTAGTCTTAACTCTATAGTCTTGACTATAGACTGATCTATAGTCTTGACTATAGACTGATCTATAGTCTTGAATAGAGTGATCTATAGTATTGACTATAGACTGATCTATAGTCTAGACTATATACTGATCTATAGTCTAGACTATATACTGATCTATAGTCTTGACTATAGACTGATCTATAATCTTGACTATAGACTGATCTATAGTCTAGACTATATACTGATCTATAGTCTTGACTATAGACTGATCTATAGTCTTGACTATAGACTGATCTATAGTCTAGACTATATACTGATTTATAGTCTTGACTATAGACTGATCTATAGTCTTGACTATAGATTGATTTATAGTCTTATTTGAGAGTAAAATTAACATAAAAAATCAAAGAAAATAAAAACAAACACAAAAAATTATTATAACATAGAATTTTTATTTAATTTAAATTTAAATATAGAAGATATATTTATGTTTTGTATTTTTATTCATTTTGTTTTCAAGTTTAAATAAATTTTAATTTTTTTTTTTTTACTTTTTTGTCATTTTTCTTTAAATATTAATTATGATTAAAAGTGGGTAACTTTTCTGGTTTTGTAGGTTTTATGGTGATTGATTGCTGTTCGTTTTTAATGCTTTTTCTTTTTTTCTGAAATTCAACTTAAAGTTAATTTTTGAATAATTTTTTTGTAGATTTTTTTGTTGTTGTTGTTGTAGTACACGTAGCTTTTTTAATATTTTTATTATTATTTGTTTTTGTTGTTGTTTTTTGTTTTCTTGTTGTAGTATTATTATAATATTTATTATTATCAAATTTTATATGTATATAATAATTTAATAACTTTTAAGGAAATGGAAGCGGATGGATGTATTATTTCTTCTTATTCGTTGCTATTAATGGAGCGTTGCGTTGCGGTGTGGTAGGCCGTGATGTATTCATGCCACTGTACATATATTTGGCCTTCTTTTCGGAGGGCTTTAAAATCTAAAACAAAATGAAATCAAATAAAATTTAAAATATTTCGTTTAATTGCTAGCGAGTGGAGTGGAGATGGAGTGTTAAAACTTACCTGGAATGAGCACATTAGTGTATCATCCACAGTCATCATACCACCGGCATTATCGAATTCACCACAATAATTGGGAGCTGAGAATAAGGTCACCAATTGACGGCGGGCAAAGAATTCATAACCATCTTCAACGACCTGAAAATAGAAAAAATATGAATAAATTAACAGAACTAGAACAAAACTAGAACAGAATTAGAACAGAACTAGAACAGAACTAGAACAGAACTAGAACAGAACAGAACTAGAACAAACTAGAACAAAACTAGAACAGAATTAGAACAGAACAGAACAGAACAGAACTAGAACAGAACTAGAACAGAACTAGAACAGAACTAGAACAGAACTAGAACAGAACTAGAACAGAACTAGAACAGAACTAGAACAGAACTAGAACAGAACTAGAACAGAACTAGAACAGAACTAGAACAGAACTAGAACAGAACTAGAACAGAACTAGAACAGAACAGAACTAGAACAGAACTAGAACAGAACTAGAACAGAACTAGAACAGAACTAGAACAGAACTAGAACAGAACTAGAACAGAACTAGAACAGAACTAGAACAGAAACTAGAACAGAACTAGAACAGAACAGAACTAGAACAGAACTAGAACAGAACTAGAACAGAACTAGAACAGAACTAGAACAGAACTAGAACAGAACTAGAACAGAACTAGAACAGAAGAGAACAGAACTAGAACAGAACTAGAACAGAACTAGAACAGAACTAGAACAGAACTAGAACAGAACTAGAACAGAACTAGAACAGAACTAGAACAGAACTAGAACAGAACTAGAACAGAACTAGAACAGAACTAGAACAGAACTAGAACAGAACTAGAACAGAACTAGAACAGAACTAGAACAGAACTAGAACAGAACTAGAACAGAACTAGAACAGAACTAGAACAGAACTAGAACAGAACTAGAACAGAACTAGAACAGAACTAGAACAGAACTAGAACAGAACTAGAACAGAACTAGAACAGAACTAGAACAGAACTAGAACAGAACTAGAACAGAACTAGAACAGAACTAGAACAGAACTAGAACAGAACTAGAACAGAACTAAACAGAACTAGAACAGAACTAGAACAGAACTAGAACAGAACTAGAACAGAACTAGAACAGAACTAGAACAGAACTAGAACAGAACTAGAACAGAACTAGAACAGAACTAGAACAGAACTAGAACAGAACTAGAACAGAACTAGAACAGAACTAGAACAGAACTAGAACAGAACTAGAACAGAACTAGGAACAGAACTAGAACAGAACTAGAACAGAACTAGAACAGAACTAGAACAGAACTAGAACAGAACTAGAACAGAACTAGAACAGAACTAGAACAGAACTAGAACAGAACTAGAACAGAACTAGAACAGAACTAGAACAGAACTAGAACAGAACTAGAACAGAACTAGAACAGAACTAGAACAGAACTAGAACAGAACTAGAACAGAACTAGAACAGAACTAGAACAGAACTAGAACAGAACTAGAACAGAACTAGAACAGAACTAGAACAGAACTAGAACAGAACTAGAACAGAACTAGAACAGAACTAGACTAGAACAGAACTAGAACAGAACTAGAACAGAACTAGAACAGAACTAGAACAGAAACTAGAACAGAACTAGAACAGAACTAGAACAGAACTAGAACAGAACTAGAACAGAACTAGAACAGAACTAGAACAGAACTAGAACAGAACTAGAACAGAACTAGAACAGAACTAGAACAGAACTAGAACAGAACTAGAACAGAACTAGAACAGAACTAGAACAGAACTCGACCAGAACTAGAACAGAACTAGAACAGAAACTAGAACAGACAACTAGAACAGAACTAGAACTAGAAACTAGACCGAACTAGAACAGAACTAGAACAGAACTAGAACAGAACTAGAACAGAACTTAGAACAGAACTAGAACCAGAACTAGACCAGAACTAGAACAGAACTAGAACAGAACTAGGACACAGAACTAGGACAGAACTAGAACAGAACTAGAACAGAACTAGAACAGAACTAGAACCAGAACTATGACAGAACTAGAACGAACGTAGAAACAGAAACTAGAACAAGAACTAGAAAGAACTAGAACAGAACTAGAACAGAACTAGAACAGAACTAGAACAGAACTAGAACCAGAACTAGAACAGAACTAGAACAGAACTAGAACAGAACTAGAACAGAACTAGAACAGAAAACTAGAACAGAACTAGAACAGAACTAGAACAGAACTAGAACAGAACTAGAACAGAACTAGAACAGAATAGAACAGAACTAGAACAGAACCTAGAACAGAACTAGAACAGAACTAGAACAGACCCTAGAACAGAACTAGAACAGAACTAGAACAGAACTAGACAGAACTGACGAACTAGAACAGAACTAGAACAGAACTAGAACAGAACTAGAACAGAACTAGAACAGAACTAGAACAGAACTAGAACAGAACTAGAACAGAACTAGAACAGAACTAGAAACAGAACTAGAACAGAACTAGAACAGAACTAGAACAGAACTAGAACAGAACTAGAACAGAACTAGAACAGAACTAGAACAGAACTAGAACAGAACTAGAACTAGAACAGAACTAAAAAAATCTGTTGGCGACTTACCTGATGAGCACGACATATTAAATCCATTTCATGTTTATGTAAAAATTTCGATACAACATCAGCCACCAAATGTAAAACTAACACCACGATCATTTTCACCCCAACCCTGGACATCTTTATCAGGATCACTCCATAACAGATCACACAATAGACCAGTATCGGGTACATCTGTGGGACGCATCAAGCGTCTAATTTGTTCCATACCTGTAGATCGGGACTCAAACCGCCGTGACAGCAGAAAATCTTCTCATCGATAATGGCGGCGACGGGTAAACAATTGAAACAGTCTGTAAAGGTTTTCCACAATTTAACATTGAAACGTCGTTTGCATTCGTCATAAAAGCCTAAAACAAATAGAGATTCGTAATAAATCTAGGAGTTTATTTAAAGCGTGAGAACTATTACCATAAATACGATTAATACTGGCACACTCGTGATTGCCACGCAATAAAAAGAAATTTTCCGGATATTTGATTTTATAGGCCAACAGCAGGCATATGGTTTCCAGCGATTGTTTGCCTCTGTCAACATAATCGCCCAAGAAGAGATAATTGGCTGCTGGTGGAAAACCACCATATTCGAATAAACGCAATAGATCTGTATATTGACCGTGTATGTCACCGCATATAATGAGAGGTGCTTCGAGCTCCAAGAGTATAGGTTGTTGTAGGAATATTTCACGGGATTTTAAACACAGACCTCGTACTTCAGATTCAGACATTTGTACTGATTTACCCGTGCGACAGCTACGCACTAAAAAGAAAAGAAATAGAAAAATATTTTATTAATTTTAATAATGAATTACATTAAGTTTTTAAAGCCTGCTTTTGCTAGCTGTTTAAGTTAAATATCTACTGCCTATTTTTGGGCGTAAGTAGGATATTCTTTTAAAAAAGTTATTTATTTACGGTTCATCAAACAATTGTTAACTTATAACTATTATTCTCTATTTATATTTAACTCTTCCCCTTAGTTATTATTTCCTCTTTTACATAAACTCATTGCCTATTTTTAGGCCACACTAATCTTCCTGTCAATGCTGTTTAACTATTTTTAACAACTTGATAATTTGTTTATAACACAAAACATCGTTGTTTTTAGCAGAATTTAATTAAAAATAGCAATTTTATAACTTAAACCAACATGACAAGCTCCATTTAAAATTTTTACTAATTTTAGGAAATTGTTGGAAAAGTTGTTTTTTATCTAAAGCCTACAGTTAGGCGGTTTGATGTATTAATAAATAACATGCTTGACAGTAACACGTGTTTTATTGGAAGGCAAAACAAAATAAATTTCTGGGAATTTTAAATTTAAACTTGTGTGGCAAAAGTTAAAAAGGCAAACTATAAATAAAGACTTCCAGGAAATCATGGTTGAATTTCATATTGAGGAAATTTTATAAGTACACAAAAAATGCTGTTATTTAAACATTAGAGTAAATTCAGAGAAGCATAATTTAAGGCGCATAAATGTAAATTATATGGAAAGCGAAAGGGTTTGATTATGAGAGAATGAATTTAGTGGAGGCTAAAGCCGACAGATGGCGTAATTTAACAATAATTCTCAGAAAATCAGAAATTAAAGCATATTTTAAGGATGAATTTTATTTCAAATTAAAGCATACTTTAAGGAACTAATACAGAACTGGAAAAGAACTAGAATGGAACTAGAGCAGATCTAGAACAGAACTAGAACAGAACTAGAACAGAACTAGAACAGAACTAAAACAGAACTAGAACGGAAGTAGAAAGGAACTAGAACAGAACTAGAACAGAACTAGAACAGAATTAGAACAGAACTAGGACAGAACTAGAACAGAACTAGAACAGAACTAGAACAGAACTAGAACAGAACTAGAACAGAAGTAGAACAGAACTAGAACGGAACTAGAACAGAAATGGAACAGAACTAAAACAGAACTAAAACAGAACTAGAACAGAACTAGAACAGAACTAGAACAGAACTTAGAACAGAACTGACAGAACTAGAACAGAACTAGAACGAACTAGAACAGAACTAGAACAGAACTAGAACAGAACTAGAACAGAACTAAACAGAACTAGAACAGAACTAGAACAGAACTAGAACAGAACTAGAACAGAACTAGAAGACAGAAACTAGAACAGAACTAGAACAGAACTAGAACAGAACTAGAACAGAACTAGAACAGAAACTAGAACAGAAACTAGAACAGAACTAGAACAGAACTAGAACAGAACTAGAAACGAACTAGAACAGAACTAGAACAGAACTAGAACAGAACTAGAACAGAACTAGAACAGAACTAGAACAGAACTAGAACAGAACTAGAACAGCACTAGAACAGAACTAGAACAGCAACTAGAACAGAACTAGAACAGAACTAGAACAGAACTAGAACAGAACTAGAACAGAACTAGAACAGAACTAGAACAGAACTAGAACAGAACTAGAACAGAACTAGAACAGAACTAGAACAGAACTAGAACAGAACTAGAAACAGAACTAGAACAGAACTCGAACAGAACTAGACAGAACTAGAACAGAAACTAGGAACAGAACTAGAACAGAACTTGAACGAACTAGAACAGAACTAGAACAGAACTAGAACAGAACTAGAACAGAACTAGAACAGAACTAGAACAGAACTAGAACGAACTAGAACAGAACTAGAACAGAACTAGAACAGAACTAGAACAGAACTAGAACAGAACTAGAAACAGAACTAGAACAGAACTAGACAGAACTAGAACAGAACTAGAACAGAACTAGAACAGGATCTAGAACAGAACTAGAACAGAACTAGAAACAGAACTAGAACAGATCTAGAACAGAACTAGAACAGAACTAGAACAGAACTAGAACAGAACTAGAACAGAACTAGAACAGAACTAGAACAGAAAGAACTAGAACAGAACTAGAACGGAACTAGAACAGAACTTGAACTAAACTAGAAGAGAACTGAACATTATTTGTTCTAAGAACTTATTTCAACGTTTACGCAACATTAACGAAAAGCAAAGTCATGTTTGTTTCTTGCAAAAAACGCAAAAATTTTAAAAAATTTTTACTTTTAGCAAGATTTATCATTTGTAGATTAAATAACCAGCTGAACTTTATAAATAAATTTTTTGTTAAGATAAGAAAACAAATAGTTCACGTGAGTAACTAACTTCTTATAAAATATTTGAAAGCAACTGAACAGGTTTTTTGCTTTCAAGAAACTAATCTTAAGAAACTTTAATCATTTGTAAAATAAATCAAAACATTTGTTTTTATAACAATATTAAACAACAACGGTAATCGGAGGAAATTGCTCTCAAGATTATTGAGAGACCATTATAAAACATGGCAGACGACTTCAGTTAATGATTAAAAAAGAGGGCTCGTTGCAAAATTAAACATAATAAGGGGGCCTGATATTGACTGTTATAATTTAGAAATATACTCATTTGTAAGTATAGAACTAGAACTACCAAGTTTGAAAACAATAGCTTTTGTTATTAAAAAGTTATTAAAAAAGCTACATATTGCTTTTGTAGCTGGGTGCGTATGATTGATATTAATTTAAAGTATTTTTATTAAATTACTTATAACTTTGGTATTTTTAAAGCTTTTTTTAAAAATTAAATGGATGTTGGAAGATAAGAAAATAAACTAAATATTAATTATAAAAAACATATTAAATTATTAAAGAAATATTAAAAAATACCTTTCCCTTAGATTTTCTTCCTACAAAATTAACAATATTAAATAATTTTCTTTATACTTTCATGACAACCGCTTATTTCTTCCCTATATTTAAACTGTCAGACACATTACACATACATATATTACACAATTACAAAATAATCTGTTTAAATGATGAGTTTACTGTGCCGCCTATAACCTCTCTTCCTCTTATATGTAACAATTATTTTCAATTAACACTTGTTTAATGAAAAAACTGAATAATAGAGAACAAGAGAAAGAAATGAGTGTGAAATAAAAATAGGAGAAAAACGAAATAAACTACAATTAAAAATTAATTAAAAAATGCAAAAAAGAAAAAAATGTTTTATAAAACAAATAAGTATTAAAAGAATTAAAATAAAATGTAATTTAATTGACATTAACATTGTAACTAAGTAGGGAGGAAAATGGAAAAAATTTGAAAATAGAACGCAAATATATAAAGTGACAGCAGTTAAGGGAAGAAAGCCTTAAAGTAGGCAATAAACTTTTAAACACCCTTAAGCAAAATTAGCCTAGAAATAGTTAAAAATATCTGCATTAAGTTTATTTCCATCAATTAAAGAAAACTGTTAAACCATTTTTCGTTCTTTTAAAGAAAAACATTAAATATTTTTAATTAGTTTAATTCTTCTCTTAATAAATAAATGTAATTAAAAACATCTGTTGCATATTGTTGTTCTTCAAATCCAAATTTGTTTGTAATAAAATATTTATAAAATCAACACTAAAACCTGGAATTTTAATGCGATTTTCAACACATACACACTATAAACAATAGAGAAAACAAAAAAAAACATAATAAACAAGATTAAAAATAAACAAATTTACAAAACACTAGCAAAATAAAGGTAATAAAATGCTCGAAATAACAGCAGTGAAGAACAGAATAGATTTTTTAACGAAATTTATTAAAAACAAAGATTTTTAGCAAATGTAAAAAAATGCAAATTTCCCTGTTAGTCCCACTGTTTCGACAGCTAGAGCCATATTTTTATAGGTCTTCAAAAGCTTGACATGTACCTTATCAATGTACTTAATTTCAAAACTTTAGCATTTCTATTTCAAAAGTTATACAGCAAGAAGTATTAATACTTTTGTTACAAAAAAAAAATCTTTGAAATTTTTTCTTTTAGACCCACTGTGCGTCCACCTAGGAACATGTTTTTAATGGTTGATTAATGCTTCATATATAGTCTAACAACATAACAAATTTCAAAACAATAGCCTTTCTAATTCAAAAGTTATTTAAAAATTTCCATATTTGCCCTACAGTACGTATGATTGATATTAATTCGATCTTTTTTCACAAATTTGTTCATAACTTTGGTATTAATAAAGGGATTCTAAAAATTAAACGAAGAATGAAAGCTAAGGATGTATATTTTTATTAACAAACAAGAAAATATCATAAAAATTATAAAGAAGAGTATAAAACAACAATAAAAACAAATATTGATATAAATTAAACCAAAAATATTCGATAAACCGATTACAAACATTAAACTTTAAAATTATGGTGTAAATTATCAATTTTTAATAAAAAAATCGAAAAAAATCAAAGCGAATAATCGATTATTCAAATAACGGAATAAAATTATTCGAATAATCGTTAAAAAAGTGATAGTGTAATAAAGATTTTAGCTCTGCATTTAACGTAATTTGCTTTATAATAAAAGATATGGCCATCAACCAATAGCAACAAACGATTATTCGTATAACCGTTTACAATTATTCGATTAATTGGTTAAAAAATAATCGTAAAATTAAGTTAAACGCACTGTTAAAGTAAATACTATCACAAAAAATAGATTTTAACCAAATCAGTAACGAAAATCAAAAATATTAAACGAGTATTCGAATAATCGATTAAAATGTTGAGAATAATCGCTAAAAAAATCCCTAAAATACATTTTATCTTATTGCTTATCAAGTACTTTTACAAAAATTCGAATTTAATTTAGTTTTTTTTTTTTTCAAAAATCAATACGAATAACAGGAATTGAACTTAATTCATACTTAATCGATTAATTAAGCAC